GTAACTACAAGTTTTTCTTTTAATTCTACAACAAATACCTTGCTGCTTCTTACTTTCCAGATAGTTGGAAACCCTCTTCTATAGTTCCTGTCTTTAAGAACTTTGGTAAACCTTGTGATCCCACAAATTATTGTCCTGTCAGTATTTAAACTCTTTTTAGCAGAGACTCTAATGAACTCCGAAATAGTTAAGCACCTCACTTCACACGACCTTCTTTCAGATGAACAGCATGGCTTTCATTTCTCAAGTTCTACCGCTAATGTGTTAATGCTTATTACTGAATTTCTCTATTAAACTTTAAATAAGAATGGCGAGGCTCAGGCTCTGGCTTTAGATATATCAAAGACGTTTGACAAGGTTTGGCATGCTTACCTTCTTCACAATCCAATCGTTCTTAACAAATCAAGTAATGATGGTTATGTTGAACGGTCACAATTCCTAATCATTTCACATTAATATGGTAGTCCCCCAGTGTTCTAATCTTGAACTTGCAATGTTTCTTATCTTCATCATTTACTGTGTGCATGTGTGAGTATTGTGGTGTTATCAACTAATATCTGTCTAATATTACGTACATGGTTATGTTTTCCTAAATGTTGAAACTTGGATAAGCATGGAATAATAATAATACAACACAAAATGTACGTTAACAAAATGTATTGAAACAAGGAAAAGGTACACAATATTTACAGTTAGTTTTGGTATATTCTTGGGAAGACTGTTCCTGCATAATGGGTTGACTAAATCGCAGTCGGGCAGAGTCTCTGGATTGGATCTTCTTCTAACTACTATCTTACTCTCTGGTCTTCCGGTACCAACCCATATTTATATGGTCGGTACTCCACTTATGTAAATTAGGTGTATCGTACACAACACTAAAAAATGTTATTTAATAGAACTAAGATCAGAAAGGTGACAGGTAAGTCTACGGAAAAGCGTGGTTGTAATAAAACAAAAAAAAATAGTAAAAAGAATCTTCAGATATTGGAGGCCATCTATATTAAAACAAAGCAACCCACACTCAACAAAATTACACTTCAAAGTAGTCACAACACATTACATTGCATCTAGACATATAGTTCTGTTGTTAATATTTCATTCTCTCGCGTGGTACAACATCATAGAACCGCATCATAAATTTGCGACCTGCGTCTGCTCTTCCGCGACCGTTATCGTCGCATAGCAATCTTCTATGTCCTTTGATGGTGAATATCTTTGTTTAAATATTCATATAACAACTCTGAAGATGGCTCATGTGAGCCGAAAGCTTAGATCAAGGAACAGCATAATAAAAAATATCCAAATGTTGGACAATTTTTGCCTTTATTTTCTCCCGAAATTAAAGCAATTATACGAAGTTTAGAACGGTTCATGATCAAACATAATAGCCATTCGTTATCTGTTATATTTAACAATATACGTTTGAATATATAAATATGTGTGCGTGCGTGTGTGTGTGTGTGTGTAATTTTCTCGTTTTTGTGAGCTATATTATTCTATACTCACGTTAAATGTTATTTTTATATATAAAAAAATACCACTCCACCAGAAACATCAACATCAATGAAGATGTAAATCATTTTCACATCCTAGCCAATCATAGCGCAAACATCGTCGAGTGAACAGACTGCTGTGGAGAAAATGTTAATCAATTTAATTCCCAGTAGACTGTTTTAAAACTGCTGACGTTTTTCCATAATGAGTTAATATTTAATCCAATCCAAAGTGGTTGCGAGTGAGTAAATTTTTGGAAAACCTATTTCGTCCTTTTACATATTCTTTATGTATAAAAAAGAAAGTATATGTACAACCATGCCATAAATTCTATGCTAACAGTTTCTTTTCTTGCACTTGTGGAACTCCCTTCCGGCTCCATGCTTTCCATCCAACTTTAATCTGCAAAAATTTAAATGCAATGTCAATCGCTATCTACTATCCTCCTGGATACTCTTCCCCCCCCCCGCTCATTAGTAATGTTTTTATTCCTAATTCATTCACGCTCAGTAAACCTTTGTGTCTTAGTAGCTTTACTGTCTTGCTTGGGTTGAAATCGATTAAAAATATATGTGTTGCATTCGTTTCTTGTGAAAATGTTGAATTCATTTACTTTGAAGTTTTCTACCCCCAACCTTAACAACAGTAACACATCTCGCTACAATACAAACTGGTGATCAACAGCAATCTCATTCACTACATAAGTAGCATTGTTAACTTTCTTGACTGTTGTGAGCGGTAAATTATGCATCGTCGATTTTAGGTTTTGCCGGTGGAGGTGTCAAATTTGCTGCTTTGGACCGATTTTCTAAAGTAATGCCTTGGACTGCGTAGAGCTGAATCCTGTAAGGGGGTGGAGGTTAATACCACCAAGACTGGTTTACCAATCTGTAAAGGGTTGATGAAAATGCGATTAACCTGCTACTTTTTTTTTAATTTCACAAATGTAACAAAAAGCAAGCAAACAACAAAAGAAATAACGATATGAAACAATATTTTGGTTCAACAATAAATATTTTTTATATATAACCAATAGAAGATACAAAATTGTATGTTGAGAGTTGTTTAAATTGCTTCAAAGTTTTTTTTTGTATGGAATGAAGTTTTTATGAAGATATTATAATATGAAAGATTAAGAGTTGAGAAATTGTGTGTATAAAAATAGGTAAGTTTGATAAGGTATGTTTGTGTTTGTAAGAAAATTAAACAGTTTGTTTTTGGTGTTGAATTTTGTAATATTGTACTCGACTTACTGTTCTGTCTCTCTTCGATTGAATGTGTCACGATGTTTTCTGTTGAGTTTATGTAGTTGAGTGAGTGTACTTCGCAAGCTGTGGAAATGTTAAGTAAATTTAACTTTAAGCCTGGTACAATATGTGACATGGATTCTTGTGTCGAGCTGAGAAAATTCGTAAGACTCGCTGTTGAAGTCGAATGATGTTTCGTATTTATTGATGTTTCAAGTCACGTGGGAGGCTCCAAGAAATTTGGGGCAAATTTGTATCTGCTTAGAATACACACGTAGTTGAGAACATATGAAATTATGATTTTTTTATTTATTAGCCAATCAGAAAGCTTTTTTAGTTACTTCTCGCCTGGAACCGATTTTAATGGGTTGTTGGGCTACTTGGATTGATTTGAGATAAATTTCGCCTTGAGCCACTTTTAACGGGTTTTTAAACAAATATAGAAGTCTAATTCTATAATCCCTACGGATGAACTTGGGAGTGCCTCACGTTTTCTTCACGTCGATCCTGTTTCACTGGCGCAGTTCCCCATCAACTTTGATGTGGTATGACTTAGTGTCCAGTTTTGGTGTGTTCACTTTTTTCCTGTGAGACTCTAGGCCCCATCTGGAATTCCTCTTTGTTCACGCATTTTTGTATGGCCGTTGAGCCTGGGGATTGATGCAATTCATCTCTCACAATCACAAAATTCACGGCATACTTCTTTCCGTTTGTTGGGTTTATCAATTTTACACGGTGCTTTCATTTCTGTCCCATTCCACATGATCTGGGTCTTGTCAAAAGGCTTCTGATTTCTCTCATGAACGTGTTTGGTACTTACACAATTATTTCCTCGTTCACCGTCATTTTAGTTTGAATTGTACCATGTGTGAGACTGCCAGCTTTCTCCTCAGACGCGACCATATCCACATACTCAGAGTTCGACTGACTATTGAATATTGCTACTATCTCCACTCAGTTGGTGTGTGCGCATTCTCTAAACCCGTTTCTTTCAAGACTTGCATTTTGACGCGAAGTGATTCATACATCGGCGCTTCCGACATGTTTTTCCATAAGCTGGACATTGTTCCTTCCCTGGTTCATGGCAAGAAGTACAGAACCGGCATTCTTTTCTGAGTTTTGATTTTCTCCACAAACTTTTCTTTGTCTTCGTAGCGACCTTGTGCACTTGTTTCGGTCTTAAAACTCGAGAATGTTGAGCAGCGTTCTACATTAGTTTGCAGATGTCAGTGCACCTCTGCAACTATAACTCTCTCACTCTTAGCCGTTCCGCTTGTGTTTGGAGGTTCCATATACACAAAACGATTTGGTCACATAGTATCGACGCCAGGCAGTTGTCGCAAAAGTCACATATTTTTATTATTGCCCGCAAAGCAGTTATAAAAGCTTCTACGCTCTCGGACTCTTGTTTCCTCGTGTGAAACACAAAGCATTCGTATGTAGCATTAGTTTCACCAACTGTCGAATGCTTCGAGAATTTCTTCGGGTGTTCGTTGTTTGTCGGGTGTGGAAAATTGAAAATCGTTATAAACTTTTAACGCGTCATCACCCAACGTGTGGAGAAGTAACGCCGTTTGTTTACTGTCGTTGACCGTGCAAATATGTGATAATGTGCATAGTTATGCCATTTTTGCTTGAGCAGTTTCCAATTTTCGGCTAAATTGCCATTCACATACAGGGACTGGGGTGACCTTATGCCTGCTACTGACTGTTGAGCATGCAGTTCGTTTCCAGTCGGACTCGCCATCTTTTCATAGACACACGTGGTTGGAATTTTTACAATATCAAAACAAGAACACGAAAATTAACACTTATCTCTTTCATGTTTTCCCTTTCGTTGTTCAGTTGGCACTGGTTTAGTGTACTGCTTCCACCATGTTCCATGCTCAGTATCGTCTATAGCCACCAACATTCAACCGCACGAGTTGACATGTCCGTCTTCACAGTAGTCTCTGCGAATTCGAACTGCCGCATTCCTACATCACATGACTGTATTAAACGGTATCCCATAAAACAAGTTCACATGAAACATCTATCAACATATCTATGGGTACAGAAATTTAAATATTGATCATGATATTTTTATGATACAAGCCTTACTAATCAACCCATAACTGGGAGAGAAGGAAGAGTTGGATTCATACCTTTCACAAGGGTATTTGTGCATAACTGAATATAACGAACCCAATTGGAATTGGAACTTGGCTCTCCGATTTCAAATTTCAAACCATTACCCATTACACCATTTGCACATCCAAGCTTACAGCACCAAGTATTCCCAAGCAGTCACCCATCTAGATACTGGCCAGGCTCGACGTTGCTTAACTTCGATGATCGTATGGGAACCGGTATTTCAATGTGATGTGGCTGTGTGCTCTTTTATTGGTTATATGTCAGGTATGTCAAGGAAGTATTATCCCAGCAAAGTCAACTGGATACAATAGATTAATTCTGATTTCATGCATTGTAAGATAGATTGCAGAGCTAAGAATATTAGGAGTAGATTTTTGCTCTGGTTTTGGGTTAGCAGCAGGGCTGGTGCATACTACACCGACCTCCCCCTATGGAAGGGAGCTTGATTGGGGATCCCAGGTGCTTTGTGACCCTTATTGTCTTATCAACATTTGCTTTTTTTCTACTTACATTTATATATGTAACAAATTAAACTAAGTACAACTGACTATTAAAGGATGACAAATTTTTGGATTTCAACACATTCTGGAGTCTTTTTTCATCCAAATCTATGAATTTGTTTTGATCATGTTAAGTCTCGAAAAAACACTGTATAAAATTCGTTATTTTTTATCCATAATGTTGTATGTGTTAAAATGATCCAACTTTATAACACATCCTGGGTACGACGTTAAACTACAACCGCGTCCTGGGTAAGACGTTAAACTACATCCAGCAGCAAGGCCTCTGATCAGGAGGTTTTGAGGAGTGTGGAACTACCTCTTAATTGCTGGTGCACCCAGGTCCACCCTGACCCGGAGTGGTAGCACCTGTTAGGGTCCCAGCTATGGACAAATAGTTAACTATTACCAGCAATACTTTTTTGAAAAAAAATTATTACCAGCAATACAATTTTGAAGGAAATATATTACTAGAAACAGATTTTTGACAAAACAAAATATTACCAGCAATAAAAATTTTTGTCAGCATTAAATAACCCATTGAGGTTGATATGCCGTTAAACAAAATAAACCAAACCAACTTTATAACAAGAAAAATCTCAAGTTGATGTTAAAAATTGCTGCAAAACATTGTTGATTTATTTAAGATGGGATGATCTATTTTGACATGTCTCTAATTTCTATGTAAATACATTGTATTTATTTTCAATTTTTACTAGTTGAATTGTTCACCTTTATTGCATATGATCTATTACTGTACATAATTAGGTTACAGTAAAATTTGTATTTTGTTTGAATACTACCTTATGAAAATTAAGATGTAGTATAGAGGAGGGGACATATCATATATTGGGAGGGGCACAATACCCTTGCACCAGTCATGGTTAGCAGTGATGCCTTTGCTGATAAAATCAAAAAAAGAGAGGAATTTTCAGATTATATTTTAGAAGCCAAATGAATTCAATTGATCATTCTAGTATTAAAAAGTATTATTTAAACACAAAATTAGTCAAGAAAATATAGTTTAGACCATTTAGTGAATAATTTCTCTGAAATTATAAATATTTTTAAAAATCCTATCTGCATTGAATTAATTTTGTTGTTGCCTGGTTAAACCATCAAATTCCAGTTGAATAATTTTTTAGTAACATTTTTTATTACAAGTGCACTATTAAATTATTTGTATAGCCCTCTACCTTGAGTGGCTCTTGTACAGATTGAATATTATTGTAAAAAATATCTGCTTTTGATTTTAAGAGTTAAATATTTCAATGATAACCTAAACAATCAAATTGATCATATATGTCTAAAATGATTACTTTTTTTTAGTTATAAATGGGGATTTTTTTTTTACACAAAACCAAATGTCTGATTATGTATGTCTGTATGTGATCTATAAGTATATGAAACAATGCATTGTAGTAATGAAGTATTGAAATAAGGTACTCTTAAAATCCACTAGCTAAAATCATCAAAGCTCTTTTGACTTGAAGGAACATTGCAAATCAATATAGTTTCTCATCTTTATCATGGTTTATAATGCAACTGTAGTGGTCCGTTTGTACATGTTATGAGACAAACATATGCATCTCCTGAAATAGCACACTACAAACATGGTGGACTCTCCCAGAGTATGAGCCCACCAACAGAAATGTAAAAGGAAAAATGTGAGGAAAACAACAGAATATATGTGAACAAACAGGTATGTGTATTGATATACAATAATAGTTACAATTGACAAAGACAATAATTAGTGTGTATGAATGAACGTAGAAAGTTTGTGGTCAAAGTATGTGTGAGTGAATGTGAATGTTTGCATTGTTCATGTGTGTTTCCTGAAGGAAAATGTATAGCACCTTCCCACAAAGGGGAAGAAGCAAATCTTCAACAGAGATTTATATCATGGTATATCAGCTGCAAAATAATAAGAAAAAGAACAAGGCATCACTGAGTTTATATAGTATATGGAGAGCGTCCCCAAGTAGCAGTTTCAAAAATGAGGAAATTAAGGAGGAGATAACTCCAACAGCAACTATGCTGAGCAGATATTAGTTACTGTTCAAGTATATGCCACATATGGTTTCTAATTCAGAGTTGTCCTTCTCCTATACTGATAGCCAATCATGGCTAGATAGTCCAGTCTGTCCCACTGTTTAAATATTGGCTGAGGATTAACTAAAAGAATGTCAAAAAAAAATCAAGGTGATTTGTAACTGATGTATAATATTGTGGTAGCCATGATGGCAGCAAGCAAAAATATATTTAAAGGAGATAAGTATTAAATGCTAATTACAGAAACCTATACATTATTTATCATTTTTTCCACCATAATTCTCTCTTGAAGGATGAGACAATGGATCACAGGGTTGTCTAGGTAGCATTAAAAATGAATCTTTTTAAAAGCATCAGTTTTCATCTGATCATTGAAACTAAGCAAGACGGTTTGCATAAATTTGTATCCAATTTTTTTACCAAATCTTTGACTATCTTCAATAAAGCTCATAAAAACAATTAGAAAAAGATTATCATTTGGTAACTGATTCTATTCTTGTCCATCTGTATACTTTTACAAAGATTATTACATTATAAATAATTTCATTATTTTATAGTATCTGTCAAAGATTATGAGATTATTTACATATGGATCAGCACTTCTGCCTAGGATTAAAATATCTGTAGCTTGCCAGCCCTGACCAACCTACTGGGGAGAGCCTTTTGTCTCTGTAGTCTTTGCCAAGGATCAAAGTTCTCTGTTTAGGTTTAGTTGAAGATCTGTGCACTGTGCTTAATATAAAAAATCACTCTCTCTCTAGATTTTTGCCTAGAATCAGTGTAGTATTCATAAGTGTCAAGGCCAGTGTATCCCACCCGTGACCACCCTACGGGGAGCAGCCTGATTGTGGGGAGACAGTGCTTTATGACTCGTGCTATCTTATCAACAACTGCTTTTTTTCTACCTACATTTATTTATACATGTTACAAATTGAAATAAAGTCATTATTATAATACTGGTATAATATTTACTATATACCTACTTTTGCCACCCATGTATATCTAATACATCTATATGTCTGTATGCAAGAATGAAATTTCTTTTTATCAGAGTGAAATTTATTGAATAAATTCTTCCTCATCTTTATCAAATGGTCACAAATTTTTTTTAGTACCTAAGTTCATCCATACATATCAATTTTATATATCTGTTTGCTTTTAGAAGTTACAGTCAAATGGATAAAGAAATTAAAATCCAGACAGAAAAATCATTCTGTTCATAAGAGAATATGATATATAACCTAATGGTAGGTTGTTGGATTTATTTCATATCCAAGAAATTAACTTCTTTGCTGATTGCTTCTTTTATGATTGTGGCATTGATGATTAAGTAGACCAATTCTTGCATGGGAGAGCTGAAAGCATTGACCACATGGTAATGTTCATGAAGTATGAGGTTGATATTTGTCGAGCCTTTCTCTCTTGTAGTTTGACTTATTCTTTTTTTCTTCTGGTAGCTTTGAAGTTTTTGATTCTGCCAGTTGGTATGGTCTTGAGCTTGTGTTTGGAATGATTTAGGCTCAAGTCCAGTGGGTAATTGAATGACAAATGGAAAAAAAATCCTTCAAAAGGATTGATACTTTGTACAGCAAATCACCTTTTTTAACAAAAATTCTGCTATTACAATGTGGGATATTTAAAAACAGCAGAAGCAGAAGGAGGCTGAGTAGGGTTGGTCAGGTTGTGCATAGGATAAAGTTAACCAGCCTCTGCATTTTTAGCATTCCTCTCAATGTGTAATTATAACCAACATTTATTTGTATTTCATTCCTTCTCACTACAAATATGTGATCTCCTTTATGTATTCTGAAGGAAGGCTTATGGCCGTATCACATGGAAACACCAGTTCTTGTATGATCACTGAAATTAAGCAACAGTGAGTCTAGTCAGTAACTAGATGGGTGATCAATAGGGAATACTAGGTGTTGAAAGCTTGGATGTGTGGGTGGTGTAATGGATAATGATTCAGAATTGGGAATCAGGTAGCTGAGTTTTAATTCCAGTTGGATTCATTATAGTTAGTTATGAGCAAATACCCTTGGCAAAGGTATGAATTACCTCTGTTGGTTAATTAGTAGGATTGGAATGAATAAAAATCATTATTATTTCCCAAAATTTATTACAATTCAAAAAATATATATTTTCTGGCTTTAAATAATCTGCAAATGCTGGGAAAAAAATCAATCAATCCTTTTGAAGGATAAAATTTATCACATAGGATATTTACTATTTTGTCATTTACTTCTAAAATTCTCAGCAACCCTATGTTGTGTGCATGTGTAGTCCTATCAACATAACAAAATTCAGTCTGATGAAGTCCTGAAGGATGAAACACATCACAAGTAAACTTTTTCCACTTTGTCATACAATTTCCTCAATACTTTTTATTATATATATATATATATATATATATATATATAATTATGAGATTGGTGTAGATGAAATAAAATTCCAATAACCAAAAACACTAGTCTTAAAAAAGAGTGCTCACTACAGAGTAGAGCAAATATTATTTATTCAAAACTTATAACATAAGCATGTTATAACATCACTACAAAAATGCTTATTTGTAATGATGTTATAACATGTTTATGTTATAATTTTGAATAGATACAATATATATATATTATATATGTTATATATATATATATATATATATATATATATATATATATATATATA